CAATCCACTCACCTCGGCCTCCCAAAGCACTGGGATTACAGGTTGAGCCACCAAGCCCGGGTGTAACCTGATTCTTTACTCTAAGGGCCTCTATGGCCAAAACACCTAAAAACAAAATATAATAAAACAAAGCCGTCTTTCCTCATCTACATGAAAATCTTTCCTGATGGAGCATTAATACTTCTAACTACTTCAATTAAGTTGCAGGTATGAAGATATATGTGGAGTGGGCTGATTAAGAAATGACAAAAATAAGCCGGGTTTGGTGGCTCAGCCTGTAATCCCGCACCTTGGGAGGCTGAGGTGAGTGGATTGCCTGAGCCCACGGGTTCGAGACCCACCTGGGCAACTTGGCGAGACCTCATCTCTACAATAAATAAAAAAAATTAGCTGGGCATGGTAGCGTGCGCCTGTAATTCCAGCTACTTGGAAGGATTGCCGGAGCCCAGCAGGTCGAGGTTGTGGTGGCCGGGAGTGGCCACTGCATTCCAGTCTGGGCAACAGAGTGAGACTCCAACTCAAAAAAAAAAAAGAAATGACAAAAATAATCATTAAGTGGAAACTGCTATTTAAGTCTCCTCTCTCTGCTCTGGTAAAATGTGTTGAAAGTGTATCTCCTGGGAAATAAAAATACATAAACACAATTGGTCAACAGGTCTGGGACTGCTACTAGAAGGCACTAGACTTTTTTTTTTTTTGAGTTGGAGTCTCCCTCTGTCACCTAGGCTGGAGTGTAGTGGCATGCTCACAGCCACCGCAGCCTTGACCTGCTGGGCTCAGGCAATCCTCCTGCCTCAGCCTTCCAAGTAGCTGGAACTATAGGTACGAGCCATCACGCCTGGCTAATTTTTTTATTTTATTGTAGAGAAGAGGTCTTGTCAAGTTGCCCAGGATGGTCTCTTGAAACCCTGGGCTCAGGCAATCTTCTCACCTCTGCCTCCCAAAGTGCTGGGATTACAGGCATGAACCACCATGCCCAGCCTTGTACTAGATTTTGATGAGTAGTCTTCAGTTAGCAGAAGCTCTCCATGCATGACACAAGTCATTCCAAAGGAACTGGGTTGAGAGTAGAAAATCTTTTGTCACCAAATTTTCCACCATAAAATAATTCACTAGGTAAGACTATTCTAAAAAAAATAAAAATATAAACATAGTAGAACCTTCCCATGAATTGCCCTGAAAAGGCCAGTCTATATTGACAAAAAGATTGAATTCAAGCACCTAAATGGATTTTCATATTTTTCTTTTTTTTTGAGTTGGAGTCTCACTCTGCTGCCCAGACTGGAGTGCAGTGGCCGCTCCCAGCCACCGTAGCCTCGACCTGCTGGGCTCTGGCGATCCTTCCGCCTCAGCCTTCAGAGTAGCTGGAACTACAGGCACGTGCTACCACACCCGGCTCATTTTTGATTTATTGTAGAGATGAGGTCTCGCTGCCCAGGCAGGTCTTGAACCCGTAGGCTCAGGCAATCCACTCACCTCAGCCTCCCAACGCCATGGGATTACAGGCTGAGCCACCGAGCCCGGCGATTTTCATATTTTTCAAGTAATATTGCTAAAAATAAAAATGGCTTAAGTCAATATTGAGTTCCAAAAAAGTATGAAGTCCCATAGTTATGATGTTAGAGATGAAATAAAAATAAACCTGAACCCTTAGTCTTTCAGATTATAGTCTAGTATGAGAGAAAAGAAGTGTAGCTGGGCGTGGTGGCTCATGCTTGCAATTCCAGCACTTGGGGAAGTTCAGGCGAGAGGATCGAGACTGGTCTAGGAAATTTGGCAAGACCTCATCTCAACAATAAACCAAAAAGTTAGCCAGGCTCAGTGGCGCATACATGTAATTCCAGCTACTTGGAAGGCTGAGGCATAAGGATTACTTGAGCCCAGCAGGGCAAAGCTGCAACAGCTGTGAGCGTGACACTGTACTCCAGCCTGGGTGACAGAGTGAGACTCTGACTGGAAAAAAAAAAGTATATAAATATCTAAAATGCATGCAATTAATGCATTAACTATGAATAAGATACACATAAGACACTATAAAACATGAATCAGGCGGGATGCAGTGGCTCACACCTATAATTCCAGCATTTAATGAGGCCGAGGTAAGAGGACTACAGGAGTACATCACTATGCCTGGCTAATTTTTTCATTTATTGTAGAGATGAGGTCTCACCGAGTAGCCCAGGCTGGTCTTGACCCCTGGGCTTAGGCAATCCTCTTGCCTCGGTCCCAAAGTGCTGGAATTATAGGCGTGAGCCACTGCACCTGGCCAGACTGTATTCTTTATGCCATTCAGATGTTAAGCAAAACGTCTTCATAGACAGTAGATGACAATAATTTAGTCCTGGCCAGGCATGGTGGTTCACTCCTGTAATCCCAGCACTTTGGGAGGTCGAGACAGGAGGATCACTTGAGGCAAGAAGGAGTTCAAGACCAGCCTACTTGGAAGGCTAAAGTGGAAGGATCACCTGAGCCCAGCAGGCCGAGGCTGTGGTGGCCGAGAATGTGCCACTATACTCCAGCCTGAGTGATGGAGTGAGACTCTGATGCTAAATAAATAAGTAAATAAATACTTGGAAAAACAGACCAGGACTAAATTAAAATAAATATAAATAAAAATAAACCTGAACCCTTAGTGTTTCAGATTATAGTCTAGTATGAGAGAAGAGAAGTGTAGCTGGGCGTGGTGGCTCATGCTTGCAATCCCAGCACTTTGGGAAGTTCAGGAGAGAGGACTGCCTGAGCCTAGAGGTTCGAGACTGGTCTAGAATCATGCCTGTAATCCCACCACTTTGGAAGGCTGAGGAAGGAGGATTGTTTGAGGTCAAGAGTTCAAGACTAGTTTTGGTAACATAGTGAGATACCATCCCTACAAAAAATTTAAAAATTAGCTGGGAAGCCGGGTTCGGTGGCTCAGCCTGTAATCCCGAGCTTTGGGAGGCTGAGGTGAGTGGACTGCTTGAGCCCGCGAGTTTGAGACCCACCTGGGCAACTTGGCAAGACCTCATCTCTACAATAAATCAAAAAATTAGCTGGGTGTGGTAGTGCACGCCTGTAG